ATAACCGAGACTGTCAGCGAGCCCGTTGTCTGGGCGAAAGGAAAAGAACTCGGCGCGACCTGGTCTCAACCATAGAGCCCACCCTTTCACCATAGCGAAAAGGGAATTCCAAGAACGGGATGGCAAGCGCCGCCCGTACTTCGCTACGGTGAGGAAGGAGCTCGACTCATCCTTCTCTTCAGGCGTGGCTAGCCCTCTCACCTTTTATTATAGCGAAATGCTGAGTGCGCCAGGGCCCAACTCCCGTTATTTCGCTTCCGCATGAAATCGGGACGGTGATTGAGCCACACAGGGTGCCCATAGGCGGGGCACGCCCCCAACAATTTGATTGTATGACTCAACTCTCTTTGGATCTGTTGTTTGACTTTACAATATATGCATTGCAAGTATGCCTTAGCTTTCTCCCTACCTATGAACTCCACAAAAAGCCTTAGTCATAGGAAGAGAAAAGGCATAACATCTTTATTGCCTTGGTGAGAATCCACAAATACCACATATATTGAGAGACATGAGAGTGTCATACAATGGAATCTCTGAGTTTTGTTATGAAAACATATAAAAACTCTGGAACAATGGTGGAACAAATAAGTTGAGACATAGTGCTTGGCTTGATCGTTCTGTCTTTCAATTGCTCAAGACCCACGAGAAGGCTAAGAAGCCCCATGGTTGAAGGTAATATGGGTAAGTTTGAAAGTCAGATCAGTTTATTCTAATCCGGAGGAGAATTTTTTATTGAACGCATGTGTACTTTTGAGGCATGAAAATATCATAGCAACTCCTGATCCATTGCTGAGTTTAGCTTTGCTCAGAGACTAGCAAAGGGTAAGCTTGGGGGAGCTAGTTGTCGGACACTAACATCAATCATAAACCATCAACATATCCTATATATATACTTAATTCCATCACCAAACATAGGGATAGGGGTTTAAACTAATAAATTCCATTATTTTTTGTGAATCTGTGAATGCAGGAGGATTTAATCAGAAAACAATCAAGGTGGACCTATTCATCAAAGTAAATCATGTTTATCCACGATGAATTAATTCTAAAATCATTGTGCATGTTTCCTACAAGTATTTCATACTTGTGTGCACAAATTTAGGGGGAGGTTACTCTACAAGTTTGATACTTTGAGACTAACACCTTTTCAAGCTTGTCATGTGTGTAGTAGTCTCGTTGCAAGGAAAATGGAGTCCCCGGAGTTAAGCATCATACTTCAAATATCCACCACCTATTGCAAGTGGTAGAAATCAAATTGGTTTCTATATGTGGTATTTCTAAACCGATATCATCATGTTGATTTCATTTTGATATTTATATGCTTTCTCCATGCATTATATAGATTAAATTCCCTTGTGCAATAATTTGCCATTTATGCATATGTTTTGCCTTTCACCATATGTATGCATATATTTAGGGGGAGCTTAGTCTATATAATGTGAGCGTCAAATTTTGTGACCTATTAGACTCTACATACAAAGGATCACAAAGTTTGACCCTCCCTTGTGCTACTAATGTCTTCCTTTTTGATGTGTTGATTCCAAAGGGGGAGAATTTAGAGGACCAAAAGCAAGCATTAATGTGTAGGACCAAAAGCCAGATCATAATAATTTACAAGTGGTAATGGTCTACAGTAATGGTCCACAAGTGTTAATGGTCCAAGAAAGGGAGGATAGTGGATTATGGATTTCGTCCCCAACGGCTACTTTCTCAGTGGGGCTTATAAATATAACCCCCAACCGACAAAATGAGTAGTGTGGAGCTGACGAAACATATCAAGGGTGTTGATACACCATTTTAGTGATCTCCACTTGTATAGTGCTTAGTGATTCATTAGGTGATTAGCATAGGTGCTTTGTGAAGTGCTTAGGTTGATTAGACCACCGCTTATGCGCTTGCTCTAGGTTTAGGCCTAGTGTTTAGTGAGGTTTGCATACCTCTTACCACTCGGTGCTTGCACGAACCATTGTTGTACATCGGAGGGGCTTGTAGTCTTGTGAGATCACACCAACCGCGTTTGTGGTGTGGCTGCCACCGTGTACCGGAGGGAACAAGGCCCACGGTGTTTTGGCCGCAAGCTTGATAGCGAAGACGGTAGGGAGCATCCAGAAGAGGCTTGCTAGAAGGCACATCGGAGACCCACTTGTGCGTGGGGAAGGCCCGAGGCTATCCACGGAGTTACCCGACCGGGAGCTTGGCCCTTGCAAGGGGCTCCAACAAGGACTAGGGGGAAGCTTGCGTGCTTCTCGATACCTCGGTAAAAATACTGGAGTCGTCGATGGGAGTTTGCATATCTCTACCTTGCTCTTTAGCTTCTGCATTTATATTGATTGTATTACTCCTTTTGCGGTAGAGATAGCAACACACTAGCAAAACCATAGTTGCATATTTAGATAGTTTATCTTTTGCATAGGTTTTGCTAAGGTTAGAAAAAGAGGCCATAGTTTAGAGTTAGAATTTTAAGTTTCCTAATTCACCCCCCTCTTAGGCGTCATGGTCCCCTACAATGTGGGGCTAGCCAACCCCACCTGCAGTCCAGCTAGCCCATGGGACCCACTTATCATGCTCTCCTTCGAATGTTGGCTCTCCACCGCCTTAAAGATCACATCTACGCTGTAGATCAAGGTCTATTTGATCCGAGGATCCATAATTGATGCTACCCCCTATATATAGTAGCCCCTACCCCCCTCCCTGAAGCCATCCTGAAACCCTAATTCATATCTTCCTCATGATCAGAGCCAGCTATCAAGAGAAGATTCATCCTCTATAGGATCTAGTCTTGTAAATAGAAATAGTAAGATAGAGAGTGAGGGGAGAGTTTGGAGGAAGTGTTGGCCTATCAGTGCTCTCTCTATGGCTTGTACCTTGGCGAATCCAAGTTCTGCTTGAGCTTGCTTCTGAGATTTCTCTAGTAATCAACTTCTGATTCAAGTAAGCATTTTGTTTATATTGTTCATCAGGTTCGTGACTCTTTTGAGTGCTTTATTCTCTTCCTAGGGGGAGTAAAGTATTAATCGTAAGTGTAAGCGTGGTGCTTAGACTTGGGTTAATCGTGGATGCACCCTGCATTTTGGAACGGTGGTAGATCGCGAGTGTGACATTCTCGTTGAGTCCTTTGTAGTCCACCTCCCGACTGTAGGCCAAGTAGGACCCAATTACTATGGAAAGCATCCTCTGCTAGTGTTTTTCCTTAGTAATGTCCCCAGTTAAATAGTAGAAGACATAACTTACCCAAGTCAGAACTAGAGAACCGTAGTAATCCTCTCTATGCTCCTATTTATCCTTAGCCTTGTTGCTACCCCTGGTTAAGTTACATTGTAGTTAATCTCGCATGTTTCCCTATGGATACGATACTTGGAATACTTCTAGGTGAAAGCTACAACAGTATCTATGCGCTTGCGGATTTATCTATGTGCATCTTAAATATACCAATAGGGGCTACTATCGGGGTTATGATACCCCGGGTATCTCAAGACACCGATTAGTTAGCCGCTCGAACGGCACACGGTACACTAGCTAGCATGAGCCCAATCGACTGCAGCCCAACTAAGCTATGAAGACTTGGGCCAAGCACTAGGGCAGGAGTTGGCCATGACCTCCTCTGCCTTCACCGCACGCCGCACAACACTACACAACCTCTCCTCCGTCCCGACCCCTAGGAGGAACGGGGAGAGATCAGACTCTACCAGGCATGCTTGCACTGACAAGAGCAGGTACGCCACACTGACCCCACAAGGATCGAGGGGACAACAGTCCCCTCAACCTGGTCAGACACCATCCCTACACCATGCAGTGTAGACAAAGACAACACCGCCAAGTGGTGGTGGCCAGTACGGCGATCCACTATCCAAATACGGCCCAAATAGATAGATGTACAACCCCACCCACTATAGGATGGGACGCACGACAATGGCCTTGACTTTCGGGGCCATCCAAGCCAGTGAAGGCCACGACCCCAGAACTCGGGATCATGGCCACTAGTTCCACAAGCAGCAAGACGACCAATGACTCGGGGAAGGCTACCAACTCCTATACGACGCCCCTGGAAGATCAGGAGGCGATGACGAAGGCCACGGCGAGACCACGTTGTGCAGGACGGCTGGCGAACCACCACTGTGCCTACAGTGCAGCCACAACCGGCACAGTAGCACCACGCCACACCATGCTGCGACGTAGGCACAAGACTATGACGACAACCATGCCCGGACGTGCGCTACACCAAGACAAGACAGCATTCCTTGCCAGCCAAGTTAGCTATGTTCCCTCCCTCAGGCTCACGACCCCCTCGGTCAGGAGAACCTATCTCTTTGTGTGCGCCCTAGCCCCAGACTCTATATAAGGACAGATAGGGCACCCTTCCAAGTCACGATGAGACTCCTGAATCCTTCATTTGGGCAGTCCCTCTTCATTCTCCTACCTCTTTCCACTCTTCTTGCATATTCTATTGTAAGAACTTTAGAGCATTCAACCGAGGAACACGCACCGATCTTCTCTAAGACTGGACGTAGGGTTCCAGCCTGAACCAGTATAATTTCTTGTGTCTTTTAGATGCTACCATCGTCTTCCTAGAGTAGCGCGATAATCGTATAAATTTACTAGTCGGTCTACAAAACACCGACACCTGGATACTTGCCTGTACCAGGCATGTGCTCCCTTACCCTGGTGTGTGTGTTGCCTAGCCTAACCGTGATTAGTTGACAGGACCAGCAGTCATGTTGTAGTTCCTATTTTTGTCTTAACGAATCATCATGTGTTGGACGTGTTTGGATGCTGACTGCCTGGCAGCTGAGCAGCCAGGCAACAATTCTGACCCAGACTAAGGAAATCAAGCGCCTGGCAGTACCTGCCCTATGCCTGGCATGTTTTCCATGGTAGCATCCAAACAGGTCCCTATCTTCTTCCATGTGAAATTATTCTTATAAAGATAAACCCCACTCTCCTATTTTTTCTTATACCAGAGAGTGCCACGTCATCCTTTTATTCCCAACCATTTCTGGCGATTATCCTAGCTGTTTGATGGTGATCAGTAGTAATCACGTCATCGAGAGGGCCTGGCTTCCAGCCTTCCACCGATCCGTCACTTATTTGCCATTGCACGTTACTTGCACTTTCTCCTGCCTCTTGCACTTCTCATCTCACCACTACGTGCTCCTCTTTACCAGGACATCAATTGTAATATAAGAGTGTGTTTGGTTCCATGGACTAAAGCATTTTGGATTAAAATCTGCACTTTAGTTGGACGAAATAGCCAAACACTTAGATTAAAAGTGGACTAAAGTCCTTTAGTCATTTAGTCCACAAAACTGGACTAAAATGGACTAAAAGGTGTTGGGGACACCTATGCCCCTCATTTATTGCCCTCTCTCTCTCCCACCCAGCCTCCCTCCCGCCCGGCCCCCCGCTGCCCTTTCTCTCGCCGCCGGCCTCCCTCCTGCCCGGCTCCCCGCCTCCGTCCCGTCCGCCGGCCGTGCCCGCCGCCGCCCTACCACCCGGCTCCCTTCGCCGCCGCCGCCGCCCTCCCGCCCGGGCCCCCGCTGCCCCCGCAACCGCCGCCGCCCTCCCGCCCAGTCGCGTGATGGAGGTGCTGGCCGTGGTGCTCCACCTCTCCACCGCCAAGGAGCCCCGCCCTGCGGCCATCGTCGCCAGCTCGTCGGCGCGCGCGCGGGGACGAGACCGGGATCTGGACCTCCGCCTTCTCGAAGCGCTGGGCTTCTCCTCGACGCGTAGCTGCACGAGCTCGTCGGTGACCTTATGGAAGTCGGCCTTCTCCTTGAGGGCGGCGGCGACCATGCGCTGGATGTCATCGCGCTTGCTCTTGAGCTCACTCATCTTGTCGACCAACAGGTCGATGTAGTCGGCGTAGGACATGGTGTAGCTGACGGTCCGTGCGACGTAGTCCTTGAGCGGTCGGAACACCGTGTCGATGATGGACGCCAGGAACTCCATCTCCGCTAGCCCAAAGCCGGGATCTTCACCAAGAAAGCGCTAATCTCTGGATCTGTGGACATTTTGGAAGGATTGGGATGAAGGGGAAGAAGGATGGGGAGGGGAACAGAGTGGCGCCAGAAACATGAACATGGGTAGCAGGCTGGTGGGGAGAAGGATAAAATGGTCTTTCTTCCACATCATTTAATGATTTTAGTCCATTTTAGTTCAAGTAACCAAACACCATTTTAGTCCACTTTTAGTTCATGGACTAAAGTGGACTAAAACTTTAGTCCATGAACTAGAGAACCAAACATGACCTAAGAAGATGAAACTGAGGGATTTCGAAGACATGAATTTCAGATAATCAAAAACTTAAATGGAGTTATTCTATCATACTTTTCCGTGAGATCCCAAATATTATTCTCATACTACAGTATCCTAATTAAATATCTAACTAATTTAGTCTTTGCTTATCTTAAATTTATGTCTTCAAATTGAATTCATCTAGTTTATTACATGAATGTGTCAAGTACTTGTCTCTTTCTCCTCTCTAATTAAATATATACAAACGGTCATTAGAAAAATTAACTTTGAATTAATTTTTTAACAAAGAAAAGATAATCTAAATCGTTTATTCTAGTAAACACTCAATAATAGCACTCATTCACCATCGTACAAGGCCTCACATATCTGCTGGGCGACTGGAAGTTTTCTTAAGTGAAGAGAGAGAGAAACTACGTGGCCAATGCGTTGGCTAGGTTAGCTAGGCAATGTAAATCTTCTGAGACTAGATGGTAGGATGCACATGCATGTGTTGTTGATATTCTCAGAAACTATTGTACCTTTGTTATGCCTAGCTAATAAAGTCTCTCTCTACTAGAAAAAAATCATTGCACAAATAATAATAAAAAAGTAAAATTTCTCTAGCCTAACACTATTACTGTAATGATTTTACGCAGCGGGCAAAATCGGTTTTCCGCGGCGGGCAAAGCTGTCCGCCGTGGTTCAAAGGCCACGGGAAATCATGGCTTTACCGCAGCGGGCCAACTTGCCCGCCACGGTTAATCGATTAACCGTGGCGGGCAGGTTATGATGCCCGCCGCGGTTAATGGTTTGGAAAAAAAAAAAAAAACTAGCGAGCCCAATTGAGCCCATCGCCAGGCCCAATCGAGCCCGCTGCCAGGTGCATCGGATCTGCTGCGGACGCGCACGCTGTCGTCGTCCTTGTGTGTGGATCTCGCCGGCCTCCGCCTCCTCGTGCCGATGGAGCTCGCAGACCCGCTCGCGGTCGTCGTCCTCGTGCGTATGGATCTCGCCGGCCTCCGCCTCCTCGCGCCGCCAGAGCTCGCGGACCCGCCTGGACCAGCTGCCGTGGTGGCCGGGATATCCTTGCACCGGATCTGGGCGGCCCAAGGGAAGGCGGCGGCGCTCCTGGACGGGACCTGCATGCATATACAAGGGAGAGAGTGAGGGAGTGGAAGAGAGGGAGATGAGGAGCAAGGGCAACCTACCTGAGTTGGGGGAGGCGCGACGCAGAGGATGGGGAATTTTGCCCACCGCGTCACCGCTCTGGTGGAGCCGGATCTGGTGGAGGCGCCGCCGTCTGCTTCGTGAGGGAGGGGAGGAGAGGGGAGCGGGGGAGGCGCCATCGGTGGAGGGAGAGGTTGATGAGGACATGGCACCTTCAGATACGAACAATGATTATAAGGTGCGCTCGTTCCTATATTTGCATAGTGGCTTTGGTTATAATTCACTTGGTTCCACATGTACATGTCACTATTTGAATGTAGGTACAAATATGTCTCAACATGCAAGTTCATCAAAGTTGAACTTTCGGTTCGTCGGCAGCCCGATAGTGTCTCATTGGAAAGGCCATAACTCATCCTTCCGGAGTGCGATCGAGGTCAATGAGCACTTGATGGAAAGCTTGTTTGATAAGCTTTCAAATAGATCTGGTCCCATCTCAATATCATGTCGGCAAGGCCTCCAAATCAGCAATATATTCTGTCACTATTTTTGGCGGGAGCTACACTGTCGTCATGGGCTTGTTAGATATCCTTGGGACCCAGGGCCAAGTTGGAGCACGCCCCAAGAAGATGGAGAACACCTAAGAGATGGCCTTGGACGTCCTCCTCCTTGGCCACCACCTTAGGAGGCCAGCAAGGATGTCCAAGCCAAGCCAGAGGCCCAGTCCAATCCGAGTTCGAGTCTGCCTCGGCCATCAGGACCAGTCTGCAATAAAACGGACACCCAGGACGCATCCGGACTCTGTTTTCGATGATCCACATATGGATGGAAAGCTAATTTGATAAGGAAGCCAGTCCAAGTTGTTTCATGTCAAAAGCTGTTCGGAATCAACGGGAATCGTCGAAACAAGTCAGCATCCAGAATTTGTCAGGGTGCTGCGATACCGTCTTTTGGTCCGTTGGACCATGTATCGAGTTTGGGCCCATTAGAGGCGCGTCTAGGGGTCTTGCACGACCCTAGAGTCTTCATAAACAGTCGCCGCCCCTCCATTAGGGTTTGGGTTTTGCTTAGATTATTCTGTCAAGAAACAGTTTTGCCGTTCTTCGGTTTGTGAGACCCCAACTCGTGAGATTAATCATACATTTGCAATTTAGTTGCGTTCTTTCTTGTTCTTGCTTGTGTTCTTCGTTGCGCAGGCAGGAATTAGCCTTCTTGGCGAGGTCAACCTGGTCCGTGACTCGGTTGATAACCAGAGGAGCTATGGTGCTAAGATTGCAGGGTTCGATCTTTCGATCTGAAGCCGGATCGGTGTGTTATTCTCCGCCACAACGATAGTTACCATCACCTGACGGAAGATCGGGATCCCCGTCTCTATTAAGTGGTATCAAAGCTAAGGTATACCGTCAGGTTCACATTTATTCCCTTGTTTGAGTGTTTTTGCTTTTATCCCATAGTCCAATGCCATATTTGTTTCCTATCCTATAACCATCCGCGCCATAGCCTTTGCATGATTCAGTTTCAGAGTCCGCTTTGTTGAGTTTGTGTCCTAGGTCAAAGTCTTGTTGCTGGTTTAGATTTGTGTTCCTTTCTAGTTTGTGTTGATCCCTTCACCCGCCGCTATTCCGTATCAGCATCGGTTTGCATCTTGTGTCCACTAAATCCCTAATTCGAGCAGCTCCCTTAAAACAGTCATAACTTTTGCATCCGAACTCGAAACGGGACAAATTTTATATCTACAGAGAACGCCAGAAAATTTTAGATCTATTTCATCCCAGCATAGCTAGGTTTGTAAAAATTAGATTTGTGAAATTCGATTAGGAAAATTGAGTTTATGAGCCCACAAGTTTTGGTATGCTTTTTAGAGCACAGTCCTAATTTTCTATAGGCCACATCTTTTATTCAATTGAGCTCAAATTTTTTGTGGTTTATTCTTGTGTGCTCCTTGCTGAGAAAAAAATATCAAAAGAGCAAAAGCAAGAAAAAAAAGATTAGACAAAAAAATAAAAGAAAAAAATAGTAAAAGAGAATAGAAGATATCGAAAAGGAGCACATAAGGAACACTCAATAGCTCTATTGTTTGTGGTACCTTTTGCCTTGTTCATATCCGTTGCTACCTTTAATACTTGTTTCCTTTCATCCTTGTTTTCTCTCTTGTTTATCTGGCCCGGTGATAGGAACACGTATAGGCTAGTAACTAGGACAAGTGCTCTGGACATTTATTCAATATTGTTTGTCATCACCGACTTGTGTGCCACATATACATATTTGTTCTTTTGTATGCCTCCCAAGCTCCACATATACTTCAGATCGCAGTGCAGAAAAAGACCCTTGCAATCTTGGTGTCACACCCTCACAGGTATCACGTACGACCACCGGTTGTACCGCCCTTCGCTTTGTGTTGGTAAGAACCTTGTAAGAGCTTGATAAGGTGTTTCCTTTTGTTGTGATCTTGAGAGGCAAGCACCACTCCCTGCGTAGTAGGATTATTAGGGATAACCTTCACTATTTGTTCCTTGTTTTTGTGTTTACAATGACGGGTTGTTCGTATCCACCGACTTATGATGGTATAGGTGCTGATGAGTACATGGGTGAGAAATTGCTATTGATAACATATTTGCTACTCGCTTTTATGTGTCCAAGGAGGAAGGTAAAAATGCGTTAGTGTTTTTGCGACATTCTGCTTTATCTTGGTGGGAGTCTTTAGATCCTTCTGATAAGCCTCAAACTTGGAATGATATGAAACTTCTTATGCGAGAAACCTTTGTTAATCCACCTTCTGTTTTGACTTCATATGATGAGGTGCACCATTTAGAGGAAGAGTCTGTTGTTATTCCTCCTGCTATGCCTAACCTTTTGTAGGACAATGTAGAAAAGAGCAAGGATGCCGTGACAGAAAATGAGAAGCTCACAGTCTCATGTGAAAATTTAGAACCATCAACTATTACCCCTGCTGAACATGAGAGCAAAGGTAATGCCCATGATGCTAACCTCACAGAAGGTGAGAGTTCTCTTGTTGTGCTGAATTTTTCCACCAATCATGCTATGATAGAGCAAATTTTAGTGGAGCATTCGCTTGATTTACCTTTATCACAAGATGATTTGCTTGATGTTTCTTATGACGAAGATGACTTGCATGATGATATTTATGTTATACCCATGCAATCATTGAAGAATGATCACGCTATATGTGTGCTGAAAATGAGCACTTGTGCTGAAAATAGACTTGTTATTCATAATGCTAGTGAAGTTGATGAGCTGAAATTGTTGTCTTCTTTAAATACTTTGGGTTACATTGAATTTGATGTTCCGTGTAATCTTAGTTCTTTATAGGAGAAACTTTATGCATATGCTGATTTGCCATGGTTCTCTAGACATACATATCATTTTATTGGAAAATATAATTGTAAAGGAGAGTATATGGTGCATCGTGTCTATATTTGTTTAAATCTGAAATCTCCTTATATTGTGCAAAAGTATGATCAACCAAAGGATTGTAATTGCTATAATCTTGTCATGTCGAGTTCCCCTAGTTTTGTTATAAAGAAACATGTTAAATTTCAAGAAGGGGAGCAATGTTGGCTACTACCAACAATGTTTTCTTCATCTAATCCCAAACCGAGGACGGTTTGTTGTCAAGAAGGGGAGGATGATGAGGACATGGCACCTTTAGATACGAACAATGATTATAAGGTGCGCTCGTTCCTATATTTGCATAGTGGCTTTGGTTATAATTCACTTGGTTCCACATGTACATGTCACTATTTGAATGTAGGTACAAATATGTCTCAACATGCAAGTTCATCAAAGTTGAACTTTCGGTTCGTCGGCAGCCCGATAGTGCCTCATTGGGAAGGCCATAACTCATCCTTCCGGAGTGCGATCGAGGTCAATGAACACTTGATGGAAAGCTTGTTTGATAAGCTTTCAAATAGATCTGGTCCTATCTCAATATCACATCGTTAAGGCCTCCAAATCAGCAATATATTCTGTCGCTATTTCTGGCGGGAGCTACACTGTCGTCATGGGCTTGTTAGATATCCTTAGGACCCAGGCCCAAGTTGGAGCACGCCCCAAGAAGATGGAGAACACCTAAGAGATGGCCTTGGACGTCCTCCTCCTTGGCCACCACCTTAGGAGGCCAGCAAGGACGTCCAAGCCAAGCCAGAGGCCCAGTCCAATCCGAGTTCAAGTCTGCCTCGGCCATCAGGACCAGTCTGCAATAAAATGGACGTCCAGGACGCATCCAGACTCCGTTTTCGATGATCCACATATGGATGGAAAGCTAATTTGATAAGGAAGCCAGTCCAAGTGGTTTCACATCAAAAGCTATTCGGAATCAACGGGAATCGTCGAAATAAGTCAGCATCCAGAATTTGCCAGGGTGCTGCGATACCGTCTTTTGGTCCGTTGGACCATGTATCGAGTTTGGGCCCATTAGGGGCGCATCCAGGGGTCTTGCACGACCCTAGAGTCTTCATAAACAGCCGCCGCCCCTCCATTAGGGTTTGAGTTTTGCTTAGATTATTCTGTCAAGAAACAGTTTCGCCGTTCTTCGGTTTGTGAGACCCCAACTCGTGAGATTAATCATACATTTGCAATTTGGTTGCGTTCTTTCTTGTTCTTGCTTGTGTTCTTCGTTGCGCAAGCAGGGATTAGCCTTCTTGGCGAGGTCAACCTGGTCCATGACTCGGTTGATAACCAGAGGAGCTGTGGTGCTAAGATTGCAGGGTTCGATCTTTCAATCTGAAGCCGGATCGGTGTGTCATTCTCCGCCACAACGATAGTTACCATCACCTGATGGAAGATCGGGATCCCCGTCTCCATTAGAGGTGGAGGCCCGCCGCTGTCTGGAGAGTGGAGGGAGAGGGGAGAGGAGCGCCGGTGGGTGAGTGCGGTGGGTGAGTGGAGGGAGTAGAGTGGGAGTCGGAGTGGAGATGACCTAAGTCTGCTTTATATTCTAGCCCGGTAGGAAAACATATATGGGCTTTCACCTGGGCTCTGAGCTGGACCGAATTTACCATGGCGGGCCTTATACTGTGCCCGCTGTGGTAAATCGATTTACCGTGGCGGACGTCTTAGGATGCCCGCCACGGAAAATGTCCTCCACGTCTAATTTACCACGTCTAAATCGATTTACCGCGGCGGGCAAAAGTGCCCGCCGCGATAAATAAAAAATGTCCTCCACGGTAAATCTTGGGATTTACCGTGGTGGGAAAAAATTGAGCCCGCCATGGAGCCTCCGGGACCCGTCGCGGTTAATCAATCCTGTAGTAGTGTAAGTATTCTTAAGCACAGGCTTCAAACCAAATAGACTTTGTCTCACTAGGTAAAACTCATTAATTTTGTAGCTAACTTCTAGTCAACACTTTTTGCCAGATAAGTCATGCAAGCCTCAAACCAAATACTCTCGTTCGTCTGGCCAAGAGAGGACATGCCTGGTACAGATTAGTATCTAGAGCTCTAACTAAACACATCACAGAGAATGCACAAACCATACAAAATTGCTCCACAAAAAAGCCCAAGCACATCGCAGGCAATGTACAGAGTACATACCATACAAAAAAAAATGGTCCACCGAACAAGCCCAAAAGCCCGCCGTTTGGACAATCCGGCCCGAACAAGCACAGGAAACCTAAAACCCGAACTAACGAAGAGCTCGCCGCACCCCACCCCACCAAACCTTTTGAACCCCAAAAATGGCACCGGCGCCGGAACCGACCGCCGGCCGCAAGCGCAAGAAACCGCACGGGCCCTCCGAAATCCTCGCGAAGAAATCCGCGGATCCCAAATCGGCATACGGGAAGAAGAAGAAAGAGAAGCATAAGCATAAGGAGAAGAAGCCGCGGCCAAAACCCGCCGAGCCGGACCAAATCGCCGCTGCCGTCGGAGATGGGGCCGCAGGGGGAGCGGTCCTACTGTCGGCAGTGATGCAGCCGGCGCGGCAGCTCGAGTTTCTTCTTCGTAGCTTCGAGCGCGCCGCTAAGATGCGACTGTCTCCTCTTGAACTCGATTCCTACTCAGGTATGCACCCCATTCATCCTCGTGTTGGATTCAATTCAATGAAGTCCAATTCCGCATGCAAATTTGAGGGATACTACCTGAAGGCCTCCTCTGTTTGTACTCACTGCAGAGGGGTGCATGGTGAAGCTCACGGAGGGAGCAGCCCAGGACGTCGAGAGCTTCGGTGACCATGTAAAGGGGGCGTTCGGCTCTTCTTGGAAGGAAGAGCTCTGTGAGGGAAATCACATCGATGGGGACATCGCCCTGGGCAGCCCGACACTTCTGGTTATCAGCTCGTCTGCTCTGCGATCCTTAGACCTACTGAGGTAGAATCTGTTGTTCCAAAGTGCAACAACAGGTTTTTCAGTTTTGCACTGCATCCGTTTGTAATTCTTTTAGATAATTAATGCAGCAACTGGTTTGTAGGGGCTTAAAGATGTTTACTAATGAATGCCGCCCAGTAAAGCTCTTTGCCAAACACTTGAAAGTGGAGCAGCAGGTCTGTATTTACTCAGAAGTTAAAAATTGGTGTGGTTTATTTTAACTGCTCCAATTTAATCTATTTGTGCATTGATCAAAATCGCAGCTGATACTCTGTATATTGCAATTTCTGAATTGGTAATTTTATCACTTCAACCACTACAAATGTCTTACTCGTGTAGAGTACTGGATTGTTTGCTTTAATGTGCTGCTGTATCTATAAGTGACTAAACTCATAACTCTACTGGTACAACAAATATTGTTTTGGCAAGGACATATTCTTTTTTGTCTACTGACTATCTGCAGATATCACTCACAAAATCCAGTGGTAAACTAGTACATTTGGTGCAAATCAGACAATATTCCATTAATACCATTGTCTTGGTTGATTTCTTTGGGTCCAGCATTTCACTAAAAGAACGTGAATATGCTTTGTCCATGTAAGAGTATTTGGAAAATGCATGATTTTTTATTCTTGAAAAGAAGTGCAAATGTAAATGATAATACCAGAGTACCAGACTCTGTTCTGTGTTATGCCACCTGTATTTTTTGCTATTGTTTTAGCTTCCTACTGTTTTGGCTTTAGTTTTTTGAACTATAAAGTTTTCATGCAGGTGGCGATGCTTCAAGCTCGAGTAAATATTGCCTGTGGTACACCGAGCAGGCAAGCAATCTTGACTATTCCAATTTTTATCTATCTGTCTTTTTCTTGTTGTGTTTAATCCATGTCGATTGGGCTTATTTAGCTTGTGGAACAAAGACCATTTTGTGTCGTTCTCCAAAGTTCGAAATGCTAGTAGTTGGTGTTTATTATATCTTACACAAAGAATACCTATTTTGTTAGGCTTCTTACATGCTAATGTTTGTGTCCCCTTTTCTTAAAGTAGCTTCAACTAGGACCTGTTGACTGTATCACCTTTTCCACCTTTGTGATAGTCCTTTGGCATATCTATCAGCACTGGCATTAATTCTTTTCTAACGCAAGGAGATCTATGTTTCATTTCATTAAGAAAGAGTACCCAAATTTTCAACACATTCACGCAACACCCACACACAATCCATCATACATAAGACGGATACGCTGCTAGAAAGAAAAGGAATGGCCCTAAAAGCTTATGGAGATAGGTCAAGTAAGGTTTCGGAGGTAGCTAGCCCGGGCTGCAGACTGTAGGGCTCCGTCCTCCTTTACTGCCCACACCACCACTCTTGCACGCAGGGAAGCACCATTAAACATGCAGCCCCTGTGGTGTTTACACAGATCCCAAGCTACCAAAATTATTTTCTATGTTGCCTATCCGCCTTTTTGATTGTATGCCGCCATCATCTGCTACTCATCAAGCCTTGACTATAAATTCTCTTATCCACGTGTTCTTCCTTCTCCACACCTATGTGTGATATGGATTGGGCGGGGTAGCAGGAAGAACCCTTTCGTCCATAGACTACTTCTTAGGTTCTTGCTTGATTACAATCGATATTGGGTTCTCTCTTTTATAGAGATGACTGACTTGACTCCTAAGGAAATATCCTAACCGATTCAATCTAACTTATCTCTTCCTAACAAATCAAACCAATCTAATCTAATCTAATTTAATCTGGCACTATTCACGCTCTAGAGTGCCACGTGGGCTTCTGTGCTAGCTCCGCTTGCCATAACACTACTACACCCCTTCAAGACAGCTCGTCCTCGAGCTGTGGCGATTGCTGGAGCAGAAGACCTTGCAGGCTACTCGATTGATGTGACGATGCCTTCCCATGAGTAAGCTGCTTGGAGAATGTTGTCCACATGACAGTCTTCCCTCCCCACCTTTGCCATGTGTACCCTACAAGTCCCAGCCACTGTCCTGGACTACATAGATAGAGCAAGGAGACATTGTCTTTGGAGAGGGTCCGATAGCAATGCCAAAATGAAACCCCTTGTGGCTTGGAAGAAATGTGCAAAGCCCAAGAGAAAAGGAGGCCTTGGAATTATTAATCTCAGGAGTCAGAACAATGCCCTTCTATTAAAGCATTTGGACAAGTTCTACAATAAAAAGGAAATTCCATGGGTCAAGCTTATTTGGAATGCCCATTAGCCCAATGGTCAAGTTCCTCATGCAACAACTGATAGAGGCTCCTTTTGGTGGAGGGATATCCTAAAACTTTGTGATTTATTCAGAGGAATTGCTGAATGTAAAATTGGAGATGGCTCTACTGTCCTCTTTTGGTCTGATCTCTGGAATGACAACATCCTACAAACTAAATACCCACGACTATTCTTCTTCGCAAAGAATAAGAATATCACAGTTGCACAGTTTCTGTCAAACAACTCCCTGGAGACCCAGTTTCATCTCCCTATCTCAGAGCAAGAATATCAAGAGTTTCAAAGCATTCAAGATTATATTCAAACAATTCAAGTTCATCACAATACAAAAGATTCTTGGCAATACATTTGGGGAAACAAGACTTACTCTTTCTCAAAGTTCTACAATCTCCCTTACTAGAACGTCCAACCTCCTGCTCCGTTCATCTGGGTTTGGGATTCCAGATGTTCCAATAAGCTCAGGGTCTTCTCCTGGCTTCTTTTAATGGATAGGCTCAACACAAGGAACATCCTCAAAAGAAAAAAGCACAAGCTAGAAGGAAATAACTACAATTGCATACACTGCAGCAACAACTTGGAGGAAACTGCCTTTCACCTCTTTTTCAGCTGTCCTTTTAGCCAAGCTTGTTGGCAGTACCTTGGCATCCATTGGGATTTCTCCATGGACTTCTTTCATATGCTGATTCAAGCTAAGCAGCAATTTCAGAGCCCTTTCTTCATGGAGATCTTCATCATTGGAGCTTGGCAAATCTGGAAGCAGAGGAACAATTTCATCTTTGATCGTGGTCGCCCTTCCTTTAGCTCCTGGAAGCAAAGTTTTTTTGGATGAAACTAATTTACAGGCTCTTAGACTCTGTGACTCTAAAAGAGCGATTTTCTTATTCCTTTTAGCAGTTCAGTCTAGTGTTGTTGGCTCTCTCCCTTTTTCAGTTGTGAGGTTGTCATTCTTCTCTGCTCCACCTCGGACCCCTCTTCTTTCCCTCTGCTCTTGTACAGTTCTTCTCCTTGTTGTTTCTCGAATAGTTGTTGGGCTTCGCTTTATTTTAAATAAAAACTTTACCGTGGGGGCCTCCCCTGCAGTATTTTAGGTTCAAAAAAACATGACACACTCGTGGTGACTTAAAGGAGGTCGCCATGGCGGCTCGTGCAGATGGGCCCTCGATAGATGGCACTGAGGTCACCTCTGCCTGGCGCACCAGCACAGAAGGCAGCATCAGGTTCAGCGGCTGTGATGCTAAGCACCGCACCTGGACTTCATGCCGCCACTCCAACAGTTGCCTCCTTGAGTAGAGGGTTGATAGTCCCATCGCGATAGCTGGCGGTCCCAGGTGAACGAGCCCATGGGATGGGGACACAGCCAAGGTAGCAGGGGCTGTGACATCAAGTCTGGAGTCAACGCAACCTGAACTGTTGCCAAGGGTGCCGCAGGTGTGGCCATGGCTGCCAGTAAAACTGTTGGCGATGGCGCAGGCGGTGTTGATGTGGTCACCATGACCGCCAAAGTTGGTATAGGGGCGATGGCCTGCGTTGGTGACGCTGGTGACGACGGGGCTGTTGGCGAAGTTGCTAGCGGTGAAGATACAGCGGCTGCTGGTACGACATTCTGGGACTTTGTTGTTGGCGAAGGAGGTGATGCCTGCAGAGGTGGTGGTGCTGCAGATGCCAGTGTTGTGGGGGTTGCCGGGATTGTTGCAGAAGATGTAGAAGCCACGGGCATCAGGGTGGGTGTGGCAGAGGCTGCCGGAGATGAGACCACCGGAGTTGTGGCAGCCTGAGCCTTCGCTAGTGGTGTCGCAGTTGTCGAGGTAGGGGTCGCTGATGTCGGAGATACCAGTGGCCCGGAGACGATGCTGAACGCATGTTCCTCGCACGCGATACGCTGTTCACGGGCGTCAAGGTGCTTGTTGAGGGTGATGAACTGGGCCAAGATGAGGTCGAGCAGGATCGGTGTCGAGGCCGGCCTTGGACGGCGATGCCTGGGTAGTGGTCTCTGATACCAATTGATATGGATTGGGTGGGGTAACATGAAGAACCCTTTCGTCCGTAGAAGACTACTTAGGTTCCCTTTTATAGAGATGACTGACTTGATCCCTAAGGAAATATCCTAACTAAATCAATCTAACTTATCTCTTTCCTAACAAACCAAACCAATCTAATCTAATCACATGGGCCCCTGGGCTGGCTCCACTTGCCATAACAATGTGCCACATATCAATTTCTTTTACAAGACATTTGTGGTTGATAGGCTGGCAGCAACCCTGACCACTATACAATTTCCTAGTGAGGGCAACTCTTGGATATCAAGCTTGCCTATGCAATTTCCTAGCGAGGATAGCTCTTGGATATCAAGCTTGCAAGCAATTTCCTAGTGAGGACAACTCTTGGATATCAGGCTTGAATTGACCACAAATGTTGGTGCTGCGACTTGGATATCAGGCTTGGATATCGCAGCACCAACTTGGATATCAGGCTCGAAGGGACCTATTGCTAGTTTTTTCTAGGGCCACTATAGAGTTGGATCTAGGCATTAGAGCAACTCTAGCAGGGCCCCTTCGACGCTTGTTACTCCACCGGCGGCGTACGACTCCGTCCCCCACCGGCGTGCGTGATTCCCACGTTGGTGCTGCGACATTCCCCCGGCGGAGCGAGATCCCGGCGGCGCGACTCGCCCTACCCGCGCACGGCAGACTCCTGGCGGCGCACCCCGTGACGACCATGACCGCAACAGCGAATTCCTGCGGCAGCCGTTGGTCTTCTTCCCTGATTCACAGTGTTTTAGCCGAGTCAGTCTATGATAACCGGGTCCCTATATTTGGGGCTCTATTTTGAGGGCCACTGCTAGAGTGCAGTCTAAAAAACAGGGCCCTCAAAAATTGGGGGAGCACCCAAACGAGAAGTAGGGGGCCTGTTTTAGGGGCTACTGGAGATGCTCTAAGAACTTTGGGTGTTTTCGACCCTTTATAATTTATGGAAATGGTCAAGAGTATCCTTATTTTCCAAAACAAAAAAGCTATGGGTTACTGGTTTTGCCTATTTCCATGATATTGCTATTCACGTTTGCAAATTGTGTCTTTCGCCTTATCCTGTTATTTCTACAAAATGTTATGAAGTTCTATCTAACTTCATGAACATGTTTTACACTGATTTGTTAGAGATTCTTCGAAAGAACCTTACTGCTTTAGTTTAATTGCATTGTGGTAGACCTTCCATTTTGCTGGGCTTTTTGCTTATCTGCTGACACCGAAGCATTGTGCCGATTATCGACTGTGCCAATATCCAATCTTGGTAACATATAATCACCATTTTAATACAAAAACTGAAAAAACATGGGAAGCAAACATTTCCATTCAAGTTTATTAAGCAGTGTGTCTAAAATATCTTTCTTATCAGTCCTTGTGTTCCATTCATACTTCGTAATTGTCATTTCTGGTTATGTTAAAGGATATAATATGTTTATTTATTTCTAAACAGATCCTAGATAGTTTGGGTGTTCACACAGTGAACTCTGTTTTAAGGCTGATGTTCCTGTTGTAGCTTCTATGCAATTTAACTTGATATATATTTCCTTTTGTCCAGTAGTAACAACAATGGTGTGTTTCTCAGTAGTTCTACCTCCTATTGCTGCTCCTTATAGTTCAGTCTGAGTGCAGGATCAAGAAACTAATTGACATGGAAGCTTTGTCCTTGTCACGCTTGAAACTAGTGGTACTTAACATGCAGAAAGATGCCAAATCCTTCACCTTGTTTACATTACCACAAGTCAGGTACTAATTTCATTAGCACATTTCAGCTCCCAGAAATTCGTACAAAGCCTTATCTATTTCTGATCTCAGTATGAATTACAATGCAGCAATGAGTTCTGGGACCTGTACAAAGGTTACCTAGATCCAAAGATCCGAGAAGGGAACATGAGGATATGTTTTTATGGTGCCGTGTCTGAGAGAGACATCACCAAAGAACTTCCACCAGCTGAGTAAATGTCTCTATGAGTCCATTGTATTCTGTAGATTAATATAACCTTTTTGGAGCTGTTTTTTTTTATGATGTTAAGAAATTAGAAATTTTCAGTGCGTTCTTTTACTCCCCGACAGTTTCTCAATTGAGTGTCATAGTTCGTGCAATGCAATTATATAAAGGGGCCGCGTAGTGGCAATGTTGTGTCGTGAATGTCACAGTGGTTTCAGTAGGTGAGGACAGGTCATGCTAGTTAGCAGATTGCCAGCAGCCCACCAAACCAACGAGGAGGTGACTGAATTCTTATTTTTGTGGTTTTGAATTGTTGAGAAATCGTTCTATTTTTCAGTGTATGCACACACAGAGTACAACATGAACATCGAGAGCAATAGGGGGCTCTGTTTTTCTCTTGAATATGGTGTATAGAGCACACTCAATGTTATTTTACTGGATTCCCTTTTGTCCTTTTTTTTAAAAGAATCAGGTAGAAAAGCTGCTGACTATTCAAGGATCTCTAAGAGTCTTTCTAATATTTACTCTCTAAATTATCATTCGGAGCGTTATTTGAGTAAAAATTGCTTTATATATCTTTGCATCCTTCGTAACTTTTCTATATCTTGTGTGCACTTTAAAGAGCCATCCTAGCTTTCTATCGTTGACTAGCGAGAAATCCGGAATATATGATGTTTATATTTGGAGAGCTAATTAAAAGGGCTGTTAGAGGGTATTTCTTTTCATTAAAATCTCTATTCCTATAAATTGAAGGATATAAAGAGTCAGTTGAAATTGATCTTAAAACTAAACAAAAACCTCAATAGGTCAAACAACAAAGGCAACAACAACAAAGAAAGCAACAAACAAAGACAATGGCAGGTTGGATTGGGATCACATGTACCGCCTACAACTCTAAGCTACCACACTACCGATGACCACTGACACTCAACAAGTAGCACACCGCTACACACCGAAAACCACGTTGCACCAACATCACCTGAATGACAACCGTAAAGCTGACACACCATCATCTTCGCTTGTGCTATTGTCACCGACATTACCCCACATCCATCCAACCTCTGTCATGTCGGGCTGGAGGTCACAGACTGCTGCAAGCTATGTCATATCGGACTCATGTCGGGCTGGAAGTCACAGACCGCTGCAAGAGTAGTCATCCCAACTTTGGCCCTATTTATAGGCAAGAAGTGACCGAAGATCTTTTCAGAATCACCTTCTAGTCATATGCATGCCGACGTGTATGCAAGTCTCATTTCTTGGAGCAACTTTAGGTCTCTCTATAGATTTCAATCTCTATATCTCTATTTAGAGTTGTTTAACGGATATAATTTCTTTACTAGTACGTTGCGCGCGCCATTGCGCGTCGGTTATCCAACCAAAGATGTAGCGCAGGATAATCTTTAGCAACTGACATGACAAATACTCAGGGCGCGGTAATGGTCCACCTTAGATGCACAGGTCCGGTCTGTAGAGCTAAACATAAAAGTTGACAACACTTGCAAGCTTTATACATTAGGGTTCATGCTAGGTAGCAACGGCAGTGCTGATATGATGACACATAGTTTATACACACAGTGACAGGTCCAGGTAATTAAACATTGTAGGTGAAGCACTCGGCGATGACCTTGTTAGCATCTCGCTTCTCGGTCTCAGAGGTCACTGTCCGTGGAGACAGAAGCTTCCCAGGTGGATGAATCTGTATGCAGATTTGCTTTTGTTAGCTCTCTGTGGTTTGCGAGGCATAAGATCAGGAGATTCAGTTTGAGAATTCGGAAATTTACCAGATCGCTGATAGCGGCACATGCATTCAGTGTGGTGGCTGCACCCAGATATGAGCCCGTAAAGCAGCGGAGGGTACATGTGTTCAAAATTCGCATGGAGTCTGGTCAATAGTGATGCTATATACATGTATAAATTTTTGTGGGGCATCAGGAGCAAAGTGTTACATTTTGTAGAAAACATGGATCGTTTCAACGAGATAGGGAGAAAAGAAGTATGTGTATCATACATGTGGAGTGGAGTGCAGAGGTGCGTTCCTCATCCTCGTTGTAGTCTGCTGGTAGTGTGCTTTCACAGCTTATGTATCATGTTGTGTTTCAGCGTTTGGGGAAAAATAAACAAGACATTTTATAATGTATTTTTGGGACAGGGCAATACAAGAAATCATGACTTTAAATGGCCACTAAGAATATAATACCTCTTTGCATTCGCTCAGAACATCACCATGTCCATTGGGAATTTGAGGTCATGCTGCAAAAACAGAGTAGAAATTAGCAGTGTAGATTTGTTCCTACGATCTAGCTCTACCTAGAGTAGGAGCTATGTGACCACAGGCCTAAAATCCATCTGTATTGTAAATCCCTATGTGCGCACAACTTTTCACAGAAATCTCTATCTGTGTTGTAAAAGAAATCTCAAGAAACTATGCTGAAAGAAAGGAAATGATATGACCATTCTACCTTTATATTTGATAGTAAAAGAAGGCATGTTCTTGCCAAAGTGTTTGATGAACCACTCATATAAACCTGTAAAATTTATAAGATGAAGCTCAAATTTACAATAGGAAGTTAGGACCACTCTGATACTCTGTAGCTGAAAGAAAAATTTACACTGAACACTTTGGCAGCCCCAAAATGACATATCTTGTATCACTAGCAGTAACCCCGCGGCAAATGCAGTGGGTGCTAGGCACAAACAACAGGTAATCTTGGAAGAATCGACAGATTCATTCATTATTATCGTCTAAAAGGAGCAGCAGAACAACAAAAACATAAATATATATTCTGTATGTAATTGAAATATTAAGTAATGCTGAAAGTAGATTACAAAAATAGAAATCAATTGTTATGGGGAGCCTGTCGTTTAAATGTCAGTTTAGAAAAGTCAAAAATCGCCTATAAGCAGATTATGTATAGGTAGAACCTAAGCCCTATTCTTTCTGTTTGAAGTAGATGAAACATCAGAGTTCAAAGCAGACTGTGATCATACGCAACATGGGCAGCACCACTCTTTGTTTGTGGAAAAAAGATCTGCCAAAAAAAAAGGAAAGCTATCACAGTGGCCAACAGATACAGTGAGTTAATCGGGTGACTATGAGAGTATGGAAGGTTCATCATGTAATGAACCGGGATCACCAGCAACAGGTTCGACTGTTATAGAGAACCTTTATAAGATTATTTTTGGTAAGCACAAAGGCCATTGTTGTAAGGCCGATCAAAAGGGCAAGTATAATATGCCACTAACCACAGGATGAGGAAGAAGGCATGGACTGGCTGCGTGGATGCGCTTTGCTTTGGCAATGGTTTTACAACGGATGAAGACATGGCACTAACAGATGATGAAATGACAACTTCTCTTTGTACACGGTATTGTAAGTAACCGAAATAGATCAATATATGCATGCCTTGAATATGCAAATCTTGCTTGTAAAGAGGACCTGTCAATCACACCGACAGTAATGCAGACCTGGGGAATTTCGGTGGCCGATGGCCCAAAATCAAGAATCAGTTGCAATTCTAGTAAAAAATCATAGACTTCAAAAAGGGTATGAATTGAAATGAGCAAACCTAATTCAAAAGACTTAAAAAATGCTCAGGCGAGATTTACTTTTGGTGAGTTAAATCATGACCTCAAATTGAGAGCCATCAGTAAAACATCAAAGTACCTAGGTAACATATGGGAATCACTGGATACGGAGTAACATATGGTGAGGTTAATCCCAGGTCAAAAATCATAGGATTGCTCTGAACTTTCTTGCTGTGTAACTATATAGGAGCATCATGCTGAAGGTATTTATAATTGTAAAAATTATTGCTGGGAAAATTGAATTAACTTTTAAGCGATGGTACTATGTCGGGATCATAAATGGGAGATAGTGCCAATCATAATTTATAGGTGGAAATGGCCACGACTTGACCAAGAAAATTATAATTGGTGAGAAGTGTGGCTACATCAGTTTATACTCGGGTACTATGCACATATAGTGAGGTAGTGAGCTCGATCTCATAGGCATTTTTAATAATTATTGCTTGGAAAAATGATTTAACTTTTGAGCAAGGGTACCTTCTGCGCTTCTTTAGACACATAGGACTTGTTGACCGTAGATATGTCCATTTCCATCCTTCTTCCTGCAGAAAGCTGAGCATGACTATTTGGTTAGCAACAAAAAATGTTGTAGAGGCAAATCAGCAACCACGCGGTGCGCATCATCCATGACTGAGGCATTCGTGAGTAGAAGATGAAATTAGGGAGAGGTAAATTAAATTAATTTGTTCTGCGAAAATATGGATCCAATATTAGCCTGAACTTACTGATATAGTAGGAATATCATTTCTGAGTTGTTATTCATTGTTAAATACAGAATATTAATGGGACAACATCCAACAACCATTTGAATCTGATACAACTATGGGAGGTTGAAGCTGATATATATGGGGAAATAAATATGCAAAAAGGAATTCAGTGAGTGAAGGATACATTATAGTTACTCTTGAAAATGGTGAAGCTAATATATTAGTAAATCAAGCTGGGCTTGAAGCCAAGCTGAAAAACTATACTAATATAAATGGATCAACGGGAGAAGCCTAGCTTTATGACAAGAACCACATTTACGCAAGGACATAGATTTATGGAAGTAACACTGAGGTAAGAAGATACTGAAAATCCATCTCTACCTCTATAATACATCACTTTAAATTATGCTACAGCTACTAAACAAAATCTATATTTACAGTCAACCTAAACTACGTTCACTCCACAAAACGTACACAGATAAAGATCGCGTTAACAACATGCGCACCGGATTAACTTTCACCGTGGCTCTCCTTGCTCAGCCCCAGCGACGCGAGACCGCGGCACTCGTCCCGCGCCCCGGCCCCAGCGACTTGAGACCGCGGCACTCGTCCCATCCCACGCCCGCGACTCCCCCTCTCCCCTCTCCCCTCTCCCCAGCTAGGCGAGGCCACGGTGGGGGCGCACGGTGGTCGGGGCGCCACCGTCTTCTCCGGAGACGCGACGCATCTTGCCCCTACTCTTCGTCCGCACGCGCAGCCGCGGCCGAGTTCCTCGATCCTCCATCGCGGATTTCTGCCGGCCACCGCCTTTCAACCAACGAGGACCGAGCCGCCGAGCTCGCGCGGAGGTGAGGAGCCACCCCTGAAGCTGCGCCGGGCTCTCCCTCTCTCTATCTTGTGCGTGGTTTGTTCCGCCGCCGTCTCCCTGTTGGCAAGGACCTGCCGTGGATCCGTTTCTGCAGCCAAGAACCAGCCCATCGAGTTTGGGACCTCGTCACGAAGCCGTGCTCTCCTGAACCGCAGCCAGAGATCGAGCTCGCCCGTGTGCCATCCATGGCCGCCGGCCTTCTGGAAGTTTCCAGCCAAAAGTTGATCCCGTCCAGCCATCCATGACGATCTGGTCCGGTTGCCGTCGTGAACAATCCTGCATGGTCTTCTCAAGATCGTCACTTTCCTGCAAGATCTTCTCCAGAATCCAGGTCATTCCTTTCTCACACCCTGCGTTGAAATCCATTGTGAATTCTGTCCATCCGTAAGCTTGAGTTTTTTTTTTCTATTTGTTTGTGGAAACAACGGTTTAATTCAATTTACTCCAATTTGATTGACAGCAGCTGCGCTGGATTCCCCATGGCACTTGCTCACATAAGTGATCTAAGCTATCTGGTTATTACACTTTTTTTCCCTCTAGAGTAATATATATGGTTCTGTTTGCATATGTTGATGACGCCAATCCATGCAGGTGCAAGTTTATACAACAGATTATTAGATTTTCTGGTTGGAATATGTGGCTTAATCAACATGTAGGAACTCATTGTAAGAAATTGTCTGTCAAACTAGCAGATCACACAACTGATTCTTTTAGCTTAATGTTGAATTCTCATGGAATTTCTTATCAACTAAGGTGGTTGTTTACTCTTTGTGCTATGGAACTACAGGTCTTGCTATCTCATTACTTGGTGCTATGGTGATGCCGTAAGCTTTTGTTTCCAAGCATTCAGTTTCAACACATGACCTTTTTTCATTTATCTTCTGCGCATAAATTGCAGTCATACTCTTTTTCTGCACTCGGCATTAGTATTATCGGTCAGTTCATGGGATTAAGGTAACCTCTAATTCTCCTTATACTGACCTAATGTGTTATTCCAATTTTCAGATGATTAAACATCTTTTTACTTCCAACAATTCACTCTCTTGCAGGAGGTCTGCGGATTGTATACGATTGAAAGTGCATTTGCCCTTACAGTAGCTTTTCTCATCAACATATCTATCGTATCTGTCAGTGGTGCTGTCTGTGGTTCAGGTAATTTTAACCGAGAAGATCAGGCGAACTGCAGTGATCTGGACCTAAACAAGGCTTCATTTTTGTTAAAGGTTGGTCAAGAAGTTTCAGTCTTCATATAATTGTCAAATTCATAAATAGATTGTTTTTGTGCTGGCTTACCGACGAGTTACTGTGCTCATGAAGAAAAAGTACAGAAGGAAGAATCGATGGAGCTTGAGTTGATGTCTGCTGTTTGTTTGCTATTTCGGTAAAGAAAGGAAGTGCTTGCTAGGAGTATTTTAATCAATTGCTTTCATCAATTCAAATGGTGAGGGAACTATTCTGGGTCACGGCCATGCCCTCAGGTAATTTTTCAACCATTCAATGCTACATAAGTGAATCAATGTCAATATTAGACATGTATTTAGGATAAGTTTAGCGCGTACATTTGTTATTTTGTTACTTTTAGTAGATGACACCGTAGCGTTAGCACGGGCAATATATTAGTTTGGTAGAAATGTAACAATGGCAAGGTAAATGCTTTGCATTTGGCTACATATGTTGAGTTGTTGCATAAAAAAGTGTAGGGATTTAAATTAGATTTGAAAGCATATTTTACTAATTTTGAGGAATGGAGTGTTTCTAAATTCTGATTATACATGGAGATGGTTGTACTAAAGTTGACTATGTAAAGTTCGCGATGTTCAGTCATCATGTGAAAAGCACTGGAGCAAATGTTCAAGTGGAACATGGAGGCATACGTAAACTGAGAGTCTTGAGACACTCCATGAGATGGTCCAAAGAAAATCTCGTACAGTTCGATAATTCATGTAGATATGATTGGATAGAACCAAACAATTGACTTGTACAGTGTGCGGCAAACAGCTCGCCAGTAGCAGCGGCAGATGACCTGGTCTTTGGCGTAGTTGGAACTGGAGCAATCATTACGACCTGCACAAATAGAAACCCCAAAAAATGGTACGTAGGGCCTGTTTAGTTCTACCAAATTCCCAACTTTGACAATGGTCCGTCACATATACATGCATGAGAGATTAAATCGAGGACTTTTACGAGACGAACGTTTTGAGTCTAATTAGTCAATGTTTGGATAATTATTGACAAATAAAAACAAAAAATGTACGGTACCTTCACCAATTCGGGCGCCGAATCAGGCACCAACTAAACGTGGCCCTATTATGAGTCGAGGATCCGTAAAGCATTTCAAATAAATCTATTCTAGGAAATTGATATTAGGATTCTATTAGTTTGAAGGCCACAATATACCACGCTGCAACAGGAGTTCGTTGACATTTATATGAGATTATGAGTTTTGCATGGTATCAGAGGACACTACAATTCTATTTCCATCACGTAACCCAATTTCAGTAAAGCACCCAAAATTAATCCATACGTAGGGGGGAGCATCACCAAGACAGCAGGTAACTGAAGTATATGAGATTATGAGTTTTGCATGGTATCAAAGGGCACTACAATTCTATTTCCATCACGGAACCCAATTTCAGTAAAGCACCCAAAATTAAACCATACATAGGGGGGAGCATCACCAAGACAGCAGGTAACTGAAGTAAAAGGGGTGTGAGGTGTTTCAGATGAGAGCACTTACATATAAGCCTCTGGACTCTCAATTGGTCACAGCCAGTCAGTGACCATAGTCAAATAGGAACAATGCACGAATACGAACATAAAGAATAGAAGGCACCTAAAAACTATTGTTACCCAAACCGCAGACCAGCACACCGTGTAGAAAGCACTTTTGCCGACTAAAGCAGGAAAGAGTACCATCTCATGACTTCAGGGAAATTGTTGGAAAAAAAGCTATAATACCAAGAGCACAGATGATGGATTGGGAAGGAGGAGCACGGAGTGGTCCCCCGAAAAAAAAGAAACTACCTTTCGGTTGTATGTAACAAGAAGATTTGTATGGAAGGAGAAAATAAGAGGAACGAAGGACATTACCAGCCGCAGATAACAAGCTGAGGAGACGGCACAATCAGGAGTTAAAAAGTGTTCGAGGCTACAACATTCCAGTTCACTCTTTATTATACCACATTGGAAATAAACTTAAGATCCAATGAAGTTCCAAAGCAAGAAAACTTCCGGGTATTCCACTTGAGTTGAAAGAACACCGGTGCACATAATTGTACTGATAACTCAAAGAAACAGGGGAACCAAAAGCTTGACAATGTAATCGTTGGAAATAGAGCATGTGCTAAGAACCAACAGTATATAATTTGACGTCAGAAGCAACGATCTCAGACATTGATCACAAAGCTAGAATGAACAAGAATATATCTATCACTTCACAGACAGCGAACACAAGCTTAGATTGCACAACTATGTGTCATTTGGCATCATAGACAATGATCATAAGCAAGTATGAGCGGAAAGCGAAAGGCAAATATCAGGGCAGACGAAGGAGGAAATCATCACAAGAAACGTCATCAGGTGGTAAGATTTCATAACCAAGAGGTAATTGCAGCCACATAGTGCGTGACTGAATAGACAATAATTACCACCTCTCATCGGTACCTTCAAACTACACAGAATATAATAGGTAGGAAGAGATGAAAAAAAACAGGAACAACCAAATGAACCCTGTCTCAATTATGATGGAACACGTCGAAAAAGATGCCAAAAATAAAATTAACATTGCTCATGATCATTGCCTCAGTTATGGACATGGTAGAGAGATTTAAAACAACGAAGAATCATCATAGCTCATGAGCATTGTATCATCGGTCATGTAAAAGAAGGAAGAGATGTAAACTGTAAGAAGCTAGCTCATGATCATTGCATCAAACACTAAAAATAATTTATGATGTAGTCATCACAGCAGCAGCCCATTCCCTCGAAGCAAAATGTAACAGCAAGAGAAAAGTGTATTCATCACTGCAGGTGACCAAAATACAAACAATAAACCAGAAATCATCAGGACTGTAGTGTAGATGGTATTAATTTTTATCGTACACTAAGAAATGATGAAACAAATATCATTGACATGATCACCTGCTCAGATGTATGGCAGAATAATTGTCTGTTCTCAAGATCCAACCGAACCCTGTAGTAACATGTAGATTGGTAAGAAAAGGAACAACAATAGATCAACGGTGAGACTGACCTCACCTTGTTCGTTTGCCTCTTTTCACCAAGATTCCCCCCTCGAAATCTCATGCAAGGGAAGGAGAGGTAAGGAGAGAGAGGGGGAGGGGGAGCGAAACCGCGAGCGGACGCCACGAGGAAGCAGAGCCGCGCAGACCACCTGCACCAACTCGCGCGAGGGCAGCCGCGGCCACCGCGTATAGTAAATGCAGGGAAGGGTAAACCAGGACTGTAAACACGGGATCAAAAGGCGGTAAGAAAATTTAGTACCGTGGATACCTTGGGTGTCCGCCGAGCTCCGCAGCCTTAATAAGAACAAATATATCTCCCGTTTCTGCAACAAGCTTTCCATTTTTTCTCTATGCTCTAATATCTTATCAGAAATTTTCTTGTGTGAAAAATTTCATGAGAAAACCATCTTCAAAAATGGAGAGAGAAGGATGATTTTAAAGAGCAAAAAATATGGAGAGTGATTAGAGTCTATTGGAGTATGTTTTTTAGTTTTTTTTTGATAAAGAGAGATGCTTTTATTTCACAATGCTCACTTGGGGCAAATCTCATGCCATGTGTATGTATCATTGAAAACTCCTTCATCCCTTATAAAACCAAATAGGAATAAGATAGGAGAAAAGAAGTAAAATGCACAAGCAAATTGTGTTGCACTTATTGTTTTGTTAAAAATCATCTAGCAAAACTCACCAAAAAAGATAGAGGAATGGTTGATTTTCTGGATCGTCTTTAGGACCTACCCTTCCATCTCAAAATAAGTGCACATCTTCATTTTGAGGAGTCAACTAATTTCAAGTTTAACTAGATTTATAGAAATAGTATTGGATATTTGTATCTCTAAATCAGTTTACTATAAAAAAATACATGGCATAATTAATCTAATTATGCTTATTTGGTATCATAAATGTTAGTATTTTTTATATTTTAGTTAATTAGGGTCAAAATACTAGATGTTCACTTAGTTTATGATAGAAACTTTAGACAACTCTCAATCATTAAGTCTTTATTAAAACGGTGTTCTATATCTAATAATAAAGAGGCAAAATTTTCGCCTTTTTTTATCCTATTATTTTGGTCTGACCTCCCTAACTAACTTTGTGAATGTGGAAATGGTCTCGGAATCCTATCCTATACTAAATAGATTCCTCTTCTCTGAGTGCTAAATAAGAATCAAGTAGAAAACAATAAGATAAATCTGTATGGTTATTTGTCCGTGTTTAGGTTCTCCTTGATTTTTTTTCCAAAAAAGGTTAGAAATAGTTCAGTTATTTCCGTCCGGAATTGTGGTTGGCTTCTTTTCAGTTTTATATATGGTTAGGAGTAGTTCACGGTTTTTTCGTTCTGAATTCTGATCGGCATCTATATAAAATCCTTTGGAATTATGGTTGGCTTCTTTTCCGTTTTATATATGGTTATGAGTAGTTGATGGTTTTTTTGGTTCCAAATTCGGGTCGGCTTCTATATATAAATAATAACTAAATATTGATCGGATGATTTTCGTAATGTATTTAAGGAGTTAGCCTCCTTGGAGGCTACGTTAGCTGGGGCTCAACAAGTACGCCCCAAACAACAACGTATATCTCAGTGTTCGCCCCGAAGACTGGGACAGGGGCACGAGGCTGTAGTCCCAACAAAACAAACGTCATTGTCGCGGCTCGACAAGCAGTCAGGGTCCATGGAGGCCGACGCGGCGGTGCCGGCTCTACTTGATGACGTGCTCGCGACAATCTTTGGCTGTCCTGCGTCGCGGTGCGTCTGTAAGGCGTGGCGCGCCCTCGTCGACGAGCGCCGGCTCCTGCAACGGATCCGGCACCAGTCGACGACAACTTCAGCTACGTACAGCTGGAGAGGCCCTACGGCCCGTACAAGGTCGCGGACCACTGCAACAGCCTGGTCCTATACCGTGGCCAGGACTATGGCGAGCAGTACGTTTCCAACCCCACGACGCGGCGGAGGGTGCGCCTGCCCTGGCTCGTGTGTTGTCGCTGCGCCACGCGTACCTCGCGTTTAGCCCCGCCGTGTCGCGGCACTACCGGTTGGATGGCGGGATGGTTTGGGATGGGTTTGTTCGGAATGCAAGGTGATCTTATGTACAACCATATGTACAGGGAGCC